TTTGTTTTCTTTCCATTGAAGTGCAATCCATACTGAAGTCTTTTATCTTCACCAGTGAATATTTTAAGTCTTCTTTGCTTCCAGTAAGCAAGGTTGTAGTATCTGCATATCGCATGTTGTTAATAAGTCTTCCTCCAATCTTGATGTCATGTTCTTCTTTATATAATCCAGCTTCTCAGATTATTTGTTCAGCATACAGGTGAATAAGTATGGTGAAAGAATACAACTTTGGAACACATCTTTCCTGACTGTAAACCATTCAATATCCCCTTGTTCTAACAACTGCCTCTATTTTTCCTAAAGACATGAAAATGCATCACCTCAAATAAGTTATCATTGAGAACTGTAAGGATTAAGTTCTGTGTTCCTCAATTTCTACAACTGAGATTCAAATAGCTCCTCTGGTTCTTACCTTCCAAAGAGTGTTGGTCCAGCTTTTTGTCAGATGTCTGGGCACACCTCTGTCCTGCCAATACATTTTTTTTTTTTCCCCTTAGGATGGCCTGAACGAGTTTGTACTGCTTAAAATCAAAGACCTCTACCTGATTCATTAATGAATGTCCCTAATAGCTGTTTCCTAACACTGTATAAGTATACCCTTTAACACTGTAATACGCTGGTTGTGGAATATATAAAGCAATTTTGAGAACAAAACACTAATATTTGTTATGAGGAGTTTTCGAACAACCCTGAATTAACTTCCAATTTTTTTTAACCATAAAATAAATAGTACAGTATTATGGGGTGAACTGATGATTGCTGCCAACAAAATAATGATCCAAAACCCTGATTCACTAAAAAATATCATACTGTTCATTTTAGGATGAAAAAATATTGACGTTAATTTCTCCCTTACCAAACTTACTTCAAGTTAAAAGAAAACAAAAACATTAAAAATGCACAAAATTACTCTTTCCTTTGTTGTTGCTGAATCGGTTCCAACTCATATAGGGTTTCTGAGGAGTGGCTTTTGGGTTTTGTGGTGCCTTAAATTTACTTGGTATGACTTTTCTACCCAAAGTCATCTTAATTTCCACCAAGTGTTTGGGTGGGACCATGAAAATAAGGTATACAGGACTCTAAGGCTGGAAATGGTTATTTTGCTCTCGAGCTAGGCTTAAAAGGAGCCAACTTAGAAGCAGAGATCGAAGACCCTAGGGCCATCCAGAAAGAAGAGCATGAGTGACACAGGAGACCCCACCTAGAGATACAGCGACTGCAGAGGCCACAGCAGAAGTGACGACAAGAGGTCACAGCACAGGCGGTGGCATGGAGAGACAGAGCAGCTTCGGGCCCTGGGCCTACGGACTGAGTAAACCTGAGGGCCTACAGGCAGGAAACTGGTTTGAAGAATGTGCCCTTTGAGCATTCACAGACTGATTTAAAGAACTTTTTCCAAAAACACATGCTTGAGCTGGACAGAGACCAAGGGACCACACGGCTGAGTCCGACAACAGAGTGAAGCGTGCCTGCAGTGTGAAAGGCAACACGTGCTCCTGACTAGAGAACTGAGATGTCTTGAGTTGGTTTTGATCCTGAATTGTACCTTGTTCACCTCCCTAATAAACCCCATAATCAGGAATATTGTTGAGTTCTGTGTGGCCATTGCAATGGATTATTGAACCCAGATGTGAAGCAAAGTGCTATGGGAGGAATGGTTGGTATCAGAACAGAATAAAGAAGAAGGTGGTAGGGTAGCAGAATGTCTGACCTCCACTTCATGGGAATCGGCTTTGGGCTGATTTTGAGTTTGATTCTCTTTCCCCCTTCTGAAGCCAGGGGACATAAGACGTGGCTCCCCTGTTTTTTTTTTTTTTTTTTTGCAGGTTTGAACCACTAACCTGTGGTTAGTTGTCCAGTACTGACCCTCAGCAACTCCATAAAGATTACGGTCACTGTGCCACCAGGCATTCTCATACATTCGTTGTTGTTGTTAAGTGTCTTTGAGTTGGTTCCAACTCACAGCAACCCTGTATAGCGTTTCCAAGGAGCAGATGGTGGGTTTGAACTGCTGACTGTTCAGTTAGCAGTCCAGTGCATATCCTACAATGCCACACCAGGACTCTTTCCTTTAGAACGTATAAATAAGAGCAACAATGTTCTCTTAGTAAAATACTTATTTCTAAAAGAGAGAAAGCGTATCGGCCTGAAAATACTCTCCAATTCCGAGTAGGAGTCACACAAAACTGCTTTCTAAGGAACAGTGAGACAGTTAAGATTGTGCCCTCAACTATGAAGACTTTCAAACACATCCACTCTTTCATCTTCTGAAGAAAGCTGACTGACTCTCAGGAACAGCAGAAGCATTGTCATGGAAGTCCAGCTCTTACATGAAAATGTGCGCTGAGTTAGTTTTCAATTCTAACCTAGTTCAGCACCTTTGATAAAGATTCAGGTAGTATTTTACAGTACGTAAATTCAACACTTTATCTTAGGATGAAAGGTAACACAGGTCCTTCACCTCCTATAAAATGCAGAACACTGAAATAAAACACTCTGAGTCACAACCAGTCAAGACTTCCATTCAGAAATTTATCTTAGATATCGAATTTCTCTTCACAGATGCTGTGCCCATTTTCTTCATAATCGTCTCGTGTTACCACCATATCTTCAAAATCGTCATTCTCTGATATCAACTTTCCACCTTCCCAGGAATAAGTAATAGGGCTGAAAAGAAAAGTAAATGAATCCAGATGATTTTACGGAACAGAAATGCCTGAAACATGAATTCATTACTAAAATTTGGCAATCTCTACCCAAGGTGAACTCACAGAAAGGCACTCATGGTCTAGAAATGACCGTAAGATTAACACAAGTAAAGCAAACCCCAAGGGAAAAGAACACTGGTCCCCAGGGCAAAACAGGATTATTTTCCCTATGTACTGAATTTATGGACCCTGTCCTGATGTGGTGCTGCGGGTTAATGAGCTGGGTAAAAAAGTTGGTTTCAACCACAGGCTGGAGGGTCAAGCTCAGCAGTTGCTCCTTGGAAACCCTATACAAAATGGGAACCAAAAAATACTTTTTGTTATAACTCAATTCTAATTCTACTCCCCCAATTTGGAGTTTCAAGTTTGAAAAATGGTAAAGACAAAATGCAATGTTTTTCTTAACTGTAATTACTGTAATTCTTAAACCATAAAAAAAAAGTGTCCAATAAAGATTTAATAAGTAAAAGAAAGAACGCTGTACAGGGCGGGTTACTCAGATGTGTACTTTGGTAAGAGCTCCTGACTCACAGAAAACACCACTGGTTTTTGGTCTGTTCACTGTTATTAATTCACCATAATACACATGCCAAGTCGTGAGTCTCCGTTTCTTCATTTACAAAGAAACAATGGTAAGATTGGTGAGCCCTTCTTAAACCTCTGAAGTTATTTAAGAGAAAAACCTCAAGCCTGGGTAAAGTACAGGGTCACAGATAAAGAGGGAGATGCTCAGTGAGACGGGACTCTGACACAATAGCTGCAACAAAGGGCTCAAACATAGCAAGGGTTCTGAGGATGGTGTAGGAGTGGGCAGGCTTTTGTTCTGTTTTCTTTCTTCCCTGTCTTTATAATGATCTTTTGCATTCTTCATGTATAATGTTCTTCATGTCACCCCACAAGTTTTCTGGTACTTGGTCATTAGTGTCCGTCCTGGTGTGTCGCTGTAGGATAAACATGATGGTGGTGGCTGTGTGCCATGGAGTCAGTTCCGACTCATAGCGACCCTGTACAGGGTTTCAGAGGCTTTCAATCTTTATGGGAGCAGAAAGCCTCATCTTTCTTCGGTGGAAAAGCTGGTAGTTTCGAACTGCTGACCCTGAGGTTAGCAGCCTGATTTGTAACCACTATGCTACCAGAGAGCTCCTTGATAGTTAGTTCAAACCCACCAGCCACTCCTTAGAAACCTTATACAGGGTTGCTATGAATTGGAATTGACTTAGTGACACTTAACAACAACAACAATGCACTGTTCTTGTGGTAGTCTCTAATTCAGATGGGACATATTCAAGGTCACATTTTGGCTCTCCTGGACTTATTTAATTTTCTTCAGCTTTAGCCTAAACTTGAATAAGAGCAATAATTGATGGTGTGTTTCAGAGTCAGCCCCTGACTCTGCTTTGACTAATGATATTGAGCTTCTCCATTATGTCTTCCCACAGATGCCGTCAACTTGATTCCTGTGTATTCCAAGTGATGAGGTCCATGTGTATAGTCAGTTGCCTTTCATGATGTTGAAAAAGGTACTTGCGATGAAGTTGCTAGCCTTGTATATTCTACCATACAATCTTCAGCATCTTTTCTATCACCATGGCCAGATTTCTCAACTATAATCTTTTCTCTTTGTTTCCAACTTTTGCATTCTAACCATCAGTAATTATCAATGCATCTTGATTGCATGTTTAATCAATTTCAGACTGAAGAAATTGGTAGAATTCTTCAATTTCTTTTTCATTGTCTTTAGTGATTGGTGTGTACATTTGACTAACAGTAGTATTAACTGGTCTTCCTTGCAGGTGTATGGATATTATCCTAACAAAGACAGTACTGTACTTCAATAGAGATCGTGAGACACTCTCTTTGAGGAAGAATATGATGCCATTCCTCTTTGTGTCATTCCCAGCATAGGTAATCATTATGACTGTTCTATACAAAATGCCCATAACTACTCTATCTTAGCTCACAAATGCTTGAATACAATCTTTATGTTTTCCATTTTATATTTGACAACGTCCAATTTTGTTGTTATTGTTGTTAAGTGCCATACAGTTGGTGATGACTCATAGCGACCCTGTGCACAACAAAACGAAACGCTGCCTGGTCCTGGGCCAACCTCACAATTATTGCCACGCTTGAGCCCAATGATGCTGCCACTTTGCCAGTCCATCTCGCTGGGGGTCTTCCTCTTTTTCTCTGACCCTCCACCTTATCAAACATAATGTCCTTCTCCAGCGACTGGTCCCTCCTGACAATATGTCCGAAGTATGACAGAGGAAATTTGGCCATCTTGGCCTCCAAAGGAGCACTGTGTCTGCACTTCTTCCAACACAGATCTGTTGGTTCTTTTGGCAGCCCATGGCACTTTCAATATTCTCCTCCAACACCATAACTCAAAAGTATCAATTCTTCTATGGTCTCCATGCTTTCACATGCATATGAGGTATTAAAAATACCATGGCTTGGGTAAGGCGCACCTAAGTCCTCAAGCTGATATCTTTGCTCATCAACACTTTAAAAAGGTCTTATGCAGCAGATTTGTCTAATGCTGCTTCCATGAGTGTTGATAGTTGATCCAAGAATGAAGTCCTTGACAACTTCAATCTTTTTTCCATTGATAAAAAAAGTTTTTTATTGGTCCAGTGGTGAGGATTTTTGTTTTCTTTACATTGAGATGTAATCCAAACTGAAGGTGGTGCTCTTTGATCTTCATCAGTAAGTATTTTAAGTCCTTTTCACTTTCAACAAGCAAGATTGTATCATCTGCATATAGTAGGTTGTTGTTGTCAGGTGCCATCAAGTCGGAACCGACTCATAGCGACCCCATGCACAGCGGATGAAACAATGTCCGATCCTGGGCCAACCCCACTACCGCTGCCACACTTGACGCCATCAATGAGTAGTAGGTTAGTCTTCCACTAATCCTGATTCCACATTTTTCTTCATATAACCCAGCTTCATGGATTATTTGCTCAGCATACAGGTTGAGTAAGTATGGTGGAAAAAACACAACCCTGTTACACACTTTCTTAATTTAAAACCATTCAGTGTTCCCATGTTCTGTTCGAGCAACTGCCTTTTGGTCCATGTACAGATTCCTCATGAGCACAATTAAGTGTTCTTAATTAGAAGAACACTTCCAATTCTGGAATACTCATACTTTGCAATGGTATACTCATACATGCAATAGTTTGTCATGATCCACACAATCAAAAGCCTTTGCATAGTCAATAAAGTACAGGTAAACCTCTTTCTGGTATTCTCTGCTTTCAGCCAAGATCCATCCAACATCAGCAATGATATCCTTCATTCTACATCCTCTTCTGAATCCAGCTTGAACCTCTGGAAGTTCTCTGTCAATGTATGCTTGCAGCCATTGCTGTATTATCTTTAGTAAAACTTTACTCACATGGGATATCAAAGATAATGTTTGATGATTTCTGCATTCCGTTGGATCACCTCTCTTTGGAATGGGCACAGCTACGGATCTCTTATAATCAGCTGGCCAGATAGTTGTCTTCCAAATTTTTTGGCAAAGATAAGTGAGTGCTTCCAGTGCCACTTCAGTTTCTTGAAGGATTTCAATTTTCATTCCATCAATTCCTGGTGCTTTGTTCTTTGCCAATTCCTTCACTGCACCTTGGACTTCTTCCTTTTCCTTCAGTATCATTTGCTCTTGAGCATATACCATCCCTTGAAACAGCTGAACATCAACCACTTCTTTTTGGTACAGTGACTCTATGTATTCCTTCCATCTTCTTTTGATGCTTTCTGCATCATTCAATAATTTGCCCAGAGAATCTTGATAACAAAAGTTGAAACTTGAATTTTTTTCTTCAGTTCCCCCAGCTTGAGAAATACTGAGTGTGTTCTTCCCTTTTGATTTTCTGACTCCAGATCTTTGCACATTTTGTTGTAATATTTGACTTTGTCTACTCGAGCTGATCTTTGAAATTTTCTGTTCAGTTCTTGAACCTCCTTATTTCTTCCATTTGCTTTAACATTTCTATGCTAGAGAGCAAGTTTCAGTGTCACTTCTGACATCCATTTTGACCTTTTCCTTCTTTCTTGCCTTCTTAACGACTTTTTGCTTTGTTCATGTATGATGTTCTTGATGTCATCCCACAACTCTTCT